TGGTAGGGGTAGGAGTGTGTGTATGGTGGCGTGTGGGTGTGTGTGGGAGGGTTGTGAGGAAAGGCGGTACACTTGAAGGGTGAAGAAGCAGACATGTATGTACTGGAGCCATGATAGGGAAGCAAGAAGTGCCTCAGGCTGAAAGAAAAATTTGCAATTGGTGATAGTGAGCTTGGGTGTCACCCGTGCAGAGCTGGCTATTGGAGTGGAGCTACAGAAGGAATCAGTGCATGGGAATTCATTCTTAATTAAGTTCCATGGCAGGAAGGAGCAAGAGTGGAAAAAGGGTGCAAGGTAAAGACAAGTCTTCACCTGGGAAAAGCTATTTTAAGCAACAGTATCTATTCTTCATTTCACAAAACACAAATCTCATCCAGCTTCATGAACCATGGCTCAGGTATCTGTTCATATTCTTAGCTAAAACAGACGGGATCTGATACAGAGAACCAGCTAATCACTCCAGAGGGTAGGAATTCCAGGCTATGGCACTCAAAATGCAATGGAGGAAAGAAGACAGTGGTGGAGGAAAGAGATGTAGGTTAGCTTAAAATGCCAACAAATACCAGCAACCTTGCACATCTCTCCATGGATCAGCATATTGTGGACTCCTGCTAAAGGGCTAGCAAAGAGACATGCCTGCCAATGTATTGCTGACTCAGCATCATGCCTCTATACATCACACTTTCACCTTCTGTGCATTGGCTCATGCTAGAGTGTGACACTGTCAAAGCAAGCCCCATCGACTTCCTCCCCACTTTGTGCTCCACAAGCTGAAAAACATAATGTAACACCTTTTTTGGTGTGCAGCCAATATGTATCCTACTGCACACCCTAAGTCTTGGCTGCACACCCTGAGTCTTGGATGGTCCCATGACAGTGGAGCTTTGTGCACTCACTACCACTCTAACAGCAGCTATAAAACATTTTTTGGCCCATGGTACAAGACTGAGCAGAGTTTTCATTGTGACACTCCTGTCTGACCTGATGTTGAGATGCCCACAGAGTCATTTATTATGAAATACTTCCATTTCTACATGCAGGACCATTCAGGACCTCTGGTTGCTTGTCATAGGGATGAGATCATGATAGTGTAAGGTTGGTTTTAAATTTATTAGGCATTTGGAATCATGCGGTGGGGAGAAGGGAGACCTCAGAGGGAAGAGGTGAGGTTCACCTGGAACCATGTGACAGCACAGAAAAATAATAGGCTTTCTGAAAGAAACCTCAAGGTATTGAGGAGCAGGCAAACTGGACAAAAATATCTACTAGGTAACATACATATCTTTTTGTCCAGTGACAAACAGAATGGTAATTGTAACTAGATTGGGATAGGGAGGAGATGCATTCTAAGAAAAATACCACAGTGTCAGTAAGAGGATACACAGAAATGGGAGTATGGCCAACAGCAGAACATTATAAAATGTCTGTCTATGAACCAGGCAAGAAGGTGCAGCAGCAGAGCAGGGAAGAAAGTTTGCTACCAATACAGAAGTGTAAGTGTAAGCCTTGGTCCAGGTGCATTTGGAAGGCCAGCCCCACTAAACCCAGCTGAGAGTGGTGACATAGTCATCATGCTGGGGCATCAAAAGTAGCAGGATCTGATACTGGTCACAGCACGCCCATGGTTGCTGTTGGCTATTGACAGCTGAGTGTGCTAATTATGGCTATGTACACACATTTAAATAATCTGAGATAATTCTCCCAGGTTTGTTCTGATAAAGAAAATTACCCAGAGCCACATGTACAGATATTTGAATCCTGCTGTCCTGAAGAGTGAAGAGTTTGCAGTCTTGAAACTGTATAGCTGGGGGGGGGGGGGGG